GTCCGGCCTCCGCGTCTTCGCGGCGCCCCCCGGCGCACAGGGGGGCCCGCCGTCCACCTCGTCCTTGGCGTTGCAGTTCATCGCCATCGGACCCCGGGGCGCGGCTCTACAAGCTCAGAAGTCCTGCCCAGGGAACCCGCCCCGAGACCCTGATGAGACTCGGGCAGGGGCCGCCGCCACCGGCGAGGCGGAAGGGGCGGGACATGGGTGACCGGAAGCGGCTGTCCGCTGGCACCTCCCGTGAGGCGGGAGACCGGAAGGTGGGACTATGGGAGGGGAGTGGGGGGAAAGTGGGTGCGGTTGGAGGCGGTGCCAGCGCGTACTCGGCCCGGAAGTGAGGGCGTAGTCTCGGCGCATGCGTCCTGGATGCCGTCTCGCTGACGACTCTGCGCATGCGCCCCGCTGAGGGGGTGGTGTTAGTGAGACGGCTGGTGTTAGTCGCAGGCGCGACGCACCCTCCTGGCCTGAGCTAACTTGTTAGCGACGGCCATAGACAGATTTTTTTCTTTGCACCCGGTCGCTGTCTCTGAAGGGAATCGGAGCGTTTGAAGGGCCACCCCTAGGGATCGTGGACCAATGTGTTTGGTGCAAACATAAACTTGAGTGACATTTGTTCTACATGGAGGAGTCAGTGTGGCTTGCCCCTCATTGAGAGATCCTCCATGCTTTCTCTCCATTCATGGTCTTGTTACTTTCGCACCTTTTCTGGGTCTGCCATTCTCTTCTTCATGTTAACGCAGGAAGTCCTTTGTAATAGGCTGTAGTTTGGGGGTGTTTTTTAATATTGGTAATTTTTAAAATACAGTGTATAAAATGATATACAACGTCGAAGGAAATGCTCATTTTATTAAAGTGACAAAGGATACCAAAGTAATATGGAGATGAGAAATAGAGCCCAATTTAAGTATAATGGTAACCTCCTTTAACTGGAGAATTTGTTTCTTTCTACTTTTCTGTATTTCCAAGTTTTCAACAATAAGCATGTATTTGTTAAATTTTAAAAATAATAGTCAGTCTGCATTATCACAGTCTTTGAAATCCAGACCAGAGAGTAGATCACATCATCCAAAAGCAAATGCCCAAACTATATTTTTTGAAAGACTTTATCGACAATTATGGCTTTTGGAAGGTCCACCTAGTTAAGAGAAACTGAAGAGTGCTTAGTTCTCGTAGGTTACAATTATTTTTTTCAGTCGTCCCACAGTCCCAAGCATGTGAATCAGTCGGGTATTTTGCTACTTAGAGGAATATAGTAGTTGGTGCCTTCTAATTACTGACTTTCTTAGGTTTGCTATTACATGATACTGATAATCTCTCCAATTCTTAGCACCACTAAGAAATCAGATATATTTTACTTTGGCTAATGAAAGTTTGCCTGCAACCTTAGGCTGAAATGGAAACAGTCTATCACAGTTAATGAAGAAGGCATTTTCTTTCACTAAGATCTATTTGTTAGTAAAAATGTATGTCATGCTGTTGGACATAATCGAAAAGTGTAAGCTTCCCCCCCATGCTACCTGTATCATCACACTCACTAAATGTAATAGTTCCTTAACTAATTTGCAATTGGAGCGTTCTGTATAAATGGGCACTTGCAGGTAACCCTCCTTGTCCATGAATAATACACCCACAGATTCAACCAGTTCTGGATCAAAGATATTTAGGAAAAAAGTTGCATCTATACTAAACATACGGACTTGTTTCCCAGCATTATTTCCTAAACAATGTGGCATAATAACAATGTACATATCCTTTGCATTATGTTAGGGATCATAAATACTGTAATCTAAAGCTGATTAAAGGTACATGAGAGGGTGTGCGTAGGTTATATGCAAACAACTAAGCCCTTTTACATAGACTTGAGAACCTGAGGATTTGGGCATCCTCTGGGTTCCTGGGACCAATCTCACTTAGATATTCAGAGAAAGCAATATTTTGACCTCAATTTGTTGCTCTAGTGATTTGAGTGATTATGAGGTACTTATTTAATTTGTTTTAAGCACTTGTCCCTTTTTTAGAAATTATATTTGATTGAAATGTAGCCTTGAGGAATAGAAATCTTACATTCCTGTATACAACTTACATTTTCATATCAGGTCCAAATGGATGAAGTTACTTTTCCAGATCTCATGATATTCTCCTCCAGTTCCTTTCCACAATATGCTTCTTTCCCAGCTAACACATTTTTTCACCTCCACATCATTATCTCAGAGATTCAGAATTTTATGTTTTCCTTGGTAATACATTATTTTCTTATAGACTATAAAAGGTAGTTTTTCATTAATCTGCAGAAGTAGGACTTTTTAAAAGAAAAACTTGTTTGACATTTATTGGAAAACAAAAGAATAGTTCTTAGAATGGATTGTCAGTATGTCAATTTTTTTGCTTCCAATACTGGAAATTCAATCCAGGGAGCACTGAGCCAAATCCCACCCACTCCTCTTTTAAATTGTGAGTCAGGGTCTAGCTAAGTTGCCCAGGCTGGCCTTGAACTTGCAATATTCCTGTTTCAGCCTCCTGAGTAGTTCAGATTACAGGCATGCATCCCTGGATCCAGCTATATAGCTATATGTACATTTGCAAATTGTGGTGGCTAGGAGTAACTAGATGTATGTGTTCATGTATTTATATATCACTTGTATTGTTTAAATCATGTTCATTTGCTGACACCTGGTAGAGGTGTAATTTATGTGACTAAATAACATGAATTCAGATTGTCAGATCCATATAATAAATATGGAATGAATACATGCATATAGACGTAAATACAAAGTGATAAAACAGACACAACCCAACAATCTGAAAAGGTGAAGATTTTAGCTTTTGGAGGGAGGGGAAGTTAGACACAGTTTTCATCTTTGTTCAGTTTCTATGTTATGTCACTGAGCTAGACAAATAGAAAAAACCAAGTGCCGTATAGATTGTCATGTTAGGTTCCTCTGATGTTTGGTGCTACTTTCCCTCAACTTTTAACCACATTCAAGCCATTTCACACACATCTGTTAATTGAAGTTGTTTAGGGAAGTTAAAAAGAGTTGAGAAGTGTCCCATGGTTTTTACAGCATGAGTTTCAGAGAACATTTTTCCTGACTGGAAATGGTTTGAATTATTTTCTGTAACCTTTTGCTTTTCTCCCCTATTCAGTTAACCATGGTAACTTAGAGAACTTTGATAGGGCCATATGATTTTAATTTTAATTGTCTCCCAGGACTTGTAAGAGAAAGAATAATGTAGAATTTGTACAAAACTAATTTCCTGTAGCTATTGCATGACATTGATCCAAATTAATTTTGAAAAATTACTTTTAAAAATTAGCCTTTTCCTTTTTTTAAGTAGTACATCTGTTGAACTCTTTCACTACATTTACGAAGCCTTTTGTTCTTATACTGGAAGATTGTCTCATTAGCCTGAGGTCACTGACGTGGTAATGAAAGATTTTGCAAATATTTCAATAACGAGACTGTACTCAGAAGTACCAAGCGAGATATTTTAATGGTTAGTGTCATTAGAGGAAAGAGCAATGACACCAGAATTTCTTAGTAGACAGCCTAAGAACTTTCTTTTAGGAAGGATATAAGGTTTAATTCGTCATGATTCAATACTTTCTTTAAATGAAAGAGTATAATTCTAATGAGACTTCTGATTTCATGATTCCATTTTGTAGAAACTTAGTTAATTACATCCCCAGGATGCATATTTTTTCAATAGGTGCCATCAGTTATAGATAAGGTCTTATTTTCAAATATGTTGCCACATGTAGATTGACCAGCCAGCAGACATTTGTTACGTGTGTAACAGAAAAATTAATTTTAAAAAAGAGAATTAGAGAAGGAAAAAATCTTAGTTTATTTCAAGCAAATCATCAAGAGATACAGGAAAGTAGATTTTTATTTTAATTTTTTTGGTACGGGGAATCGAACTCAGGACTTTGCGCTTGGTAGGCAGGCGCTTGTGCCGCTGAGCTAAATCCCCAGCCCAGAAAGTAGATTTTGAAAAACATGTACTTTGTGCCCAGGCATGGTGGCACACATCTGTAATCCCAGCACTTGGGAGGTTGAGGCAAGAGGATTGATGTGAGTTCAAGGCCAACCTGAAACAAAGCAAGATCCTCTCTCAAAAATGAAAAAAAAAAAAAAACGAAGACATGTACTTTGTATGTCATATATTTGAACCGTTTTAGACTTATTTTCAATTTGCATTTTTCTATTTTTCCAAGTTTTAAATTTCTGGAAGTACTAGGAGAGGAAGACACATTTCACCTTCATTTATTTTTTTTGACACACTTCTCACTACTACCTGTGAAATTTTTATTGCTTTAAAATAACTTCAATCATGCTCACTTCAGCAGCACATATACTAAAATAACTCCAGTATATACTTACAGGATAACCTCTACAAAATGGTCTTAAATGTGAAAATTGACTTTCCTGAGTCTCAGAAATGAAAAGCTTTCTTGAGTCAGTGGCACTAAATAGTGGTAACATAAAAGGCCCAGAGCCTCACTCTGACCAGCACACCATGAGGCACAAGTGGAGTCCAACAAACTGTCCCACAGCACCACTGAGTCCTCCGGACGGAGTGATTGGCACCCATCAGTACTATGTTACTCAGAAAAGCACCACTTCCTGTCCAACTTAAGACCCCACCTCCGCGGAAGCTGCCTTGTTCGCTAATTCAAAAGTCCGGTCAGTAGCTAGCTTAAGGAATGGTTCTGTGGCCCCTGGGACAGCTGGGAGCTGCTCTCTGAGTTATATCCATCTGCATGGGGCTTTCTTACTAAATATAAGCTCCTCAAAATCAGAGACTTTTTTCATTTCTAAAGGCCTAGTATATGGAAAAGTGCCTAGTACATAAAAGGTGCTCAGTAATCTTGTTGAACTTACCTAACTCAGCAAACTCACATTTTAGTGGATAAATCACTTACAACAAACAACTGAAATGAATTGAAACAATTGGGTGTAGAAGGGGTTACAGGAGTTCCAAGGAGGTCGAACACCTTATCTCCTGTAAGATGTAAGAATTAAACTGTGAGGACATGTGTTGCAAGGTTGGAGTGATATGATAGTTCTCCATGCAGGAGAGAATTGAATTGAAAATGAAGGAATCCAGAGATAATTGAGCATTATACTATACATATGATTGATACCATGTGAGGCTGTATCACCAAGGGTGATCATGTTTTTTCTCAAGCAAGATTTTGGCAGGTTCTGGTTGCCATGAAACAGACTTTTGTGCTCTCAACTTTGGGGACATACTAGGTTCATTAGCTTATCTAGTTCATTTGTCCCACCGCATGCTGGCTCCAGCACTTCATGTGGGAGTCAGTGCTTCTTTGTGAAGTAAAAATGAATGAGCACCTGTTGTTAAAGTAGCACTGACTCTTTGGTGGTCCTTTGAGAGCGCTTTGTTCTTGCAGACAGCATATCTTTTTTTAGAATCAGTGATTATTGAGGATCTTTTCTTGTTTAGTCTAGTAGCCTACATCTAAAACTGTGAGGGGCTGGGGATTTAGCTCAGCGGCAAAAGCGCCTGCCTGGCAAGCGCAAGGTCGTGAGTTCGGTTCCCGGTACCGCAGAAAAACCAAAAAAATAAAATAAAATAAAATAAAACTGTGAATGCTCACAGGTTTCTGCAAAGCACCCTGGCTGAGGTACTGCTCCTAAAAGAGCAGATCTCTAGAATTAGAAATCAATAATTAGGTATCTACAAAACATCTGCCATTTAACTAAACATATGACTTGTGTTCAAGAATGTGAGAAGCCGGGCGTGGTGCACTCATATAATCCTAGCACTCGGGAGGCTGAGGCAGGAGGATCATTGCAAGTTCAAGACCAGCCTGGGCTACATAGTGAGTTCAAGGCCAGCCTGAACTATGTAGCGAGACCTGTCTCAAAAAGACAAAAAAAAAAAAAAGAACGTGAGAAAATTGTACACAAATAAACAACAGAAAGACCAAAAAAGAGAGTGTGTCTGTAGTCTTGGAAAAGATCTGTGAAGACTGGGAGAAAGAAGCAGGTGGTAATAGGCCTCATCCCAGCAGGAACTGCCTTTCAAATACATTTGTCCCGGAGCAGGGGGTGTGTTTCAGTGGTGGAGCGCATGCTTAGCATGTGCAAGGCCCTGGGCTCAATCCCCAGCTCTCTCTCTCACACACACAGTCACGCACCATTACTCAGCACCTGGTATTCACTATGAGGAATATGCAGATCCTCCTTGAAGAAGTTTACAAACTGGGGAAATAGATTTGTAAACCAGCACCACTTGCTATAGCTTGAGTCTGCAGTGTCTCCAAAGGCCCTGGTCTTTCCCCAGCCCATGACATGCTTGGAGGGTGCCGAAACCTTTAAGAGGTGGATCTCAGTGGGAAGAAGTTAGGCCTTTCAGGGTGTGAGCTCGAAGAGGGTGTCAGGGCCCTGGCCTCTTCTCATCTCTTGGTTTCTTGGCTGCCATGAGGTGGTACATGACACAGTGGGTTGCCACAGGCTCAAAGCAACAGGACCAAGTGACCATGGACTGAAACCATGAAGCAAAATAAACCCTTCCCTCGTGAAGGGGACCATCGTAGGTTTTTATACTTAGTCACAGTGACGGGAAGCTGACTAATGGCAGTCAGTACAACATACAATAGAACAAGTGAAGAGAAAAAAAGTTTTCTCCTTAGACATCCTTATCTCCGCAAGAAATACTAGCGATAAATCTGGGAAAACTAAAGGATGACTAGTTTTCTTTAAAAAGAAAATCTAGCACTTGGGAGGCTGAGGTGGAAGGATCATTGTGAATTTGAGGCCAGCCTGGGGGATACATAGTGAATTCAAGACCAGCCTGAACTACATAATGAGACCCTGTCTCAACAAACAAACAAAAAGTAAAGTACAGTTCAGAATTCCAGCACATGATTGCATTGCCCTGTCTGAAACAACAAAGTTAGTGAGGATTGCCTCTGATAATCCACTGCAAGGGAGGTCTCAGTGCTCCACATCTTTCGTATGTGCCTTGGGATATTGTTGAGTGCTAATTTTAAAAGACTTCAATGACTTTTAATTTGTAAAAGTAGAATGCAAAGTACTATATTGCTAACAATGAAAGGGCCAAGGGAAGTTGCTTTTGTTTCCCTACCCAAGGAAAAAGGCTTCCTCATTAAATATGGTTATTCTAGCCAGGGCTAGGGAGAAAAATATACAGGATAAATACAGTATACAGCTTGAGCCCTTTTCTCATGGTAAATCATAAGACTTTCTCAGCCAGTGCAATTAAACCAAGTATATCAAAGATTTTTCTCTCTCCAATAAGCAAGGGCAGAGAGTTGTCCTCAGAGCCAAGAGTTCCTAACATCTGCAATTTAGCTGCAGAATATATCTTGTTTTAGGCGGTTTTGGTGTTATTTTTTGATGGATATGGCTAAATAATGAGAAATCCATTCTTTGGTCAGCAAAGATAAGTTAGGACTGGATATGGCCGTGGACCACCATTTCTAGCAGAAATAATCTGATAAATAAAAGAGGTCAAACATAACCCAACCTACTCCCATCACACTTTACAGAAACCATTACACTCCCTCTAGAGAACCAAGCATACCTGTGCCTCAGTTATGTTTGCTCTACTGAATATCTGCCTTTAGACTGATACCAGAAAGCAGAAAGCAGTGGTATAATATCTGAACGTTGATTAGTGTTATAGTTCATCAGAAAAAATGAGTGAGAGAATACTCTTAATCAGTTGTAATTTTCATCTTAGTAAACATTGCAACTATGGTGTAACTCAGAGTAAAAGCATCCATTTTGGCATTCCCTAATATACCAATTCTGCTTATCCATAGTAAGACACCATATGAAATGCAGAATTTAAAACTATTTTAAAGCAAATGATTTAAATAAAAAGAATGTTGCATACTTAGTTTAAATGATTTTAATTTTATGAATACTTTGTTCCAATTTAAAAAAGAATATTGCACAATGCTTTAATATTTTAATTGGTTTTTTTACATGCTGGTGAGATTTCCATGAAATAACACAGAAAATGTCCTACTTGGTTAAATAATTTCAATCACCTGTGAAGAAGTGATAGCAGGATATTATATTCATAAAGAAAACAAGTACATAAATTCACTTAGATTCATTGAAAAATAATAAACCTCATGTAATTAACAAAATAAAGGAGGCAAAGTTAATAATGGTGTGAAAATAGAATGCATTTCCAAAATTTTTCTTAAATGTACTCTTGTTTTGAAAATCCATTAGAGCTGCAAGGATTCTAAAAATATCTGACTACTTTGTAAGCCTCTTTATTGGAGAAGCTAACAGCTGATGCTTTTAAAGCAAAATCTCAATTAAATAAATACACATCTGCAGTGTTAAAATACACATCTATGAAGGGTAAGATAAAATTCCCCAAATCACATAAACAAAAACTTCCCAGAAAATAAATGATCACAACATTTCTGGTTAAATCTGCAGCTATCACATTTTCCCTACAGAACAACCACAGTTATCATCCAATAATTTGGAATAAATGCTGAAAATTATAATAATCAAGTTCCCAAATTTTATAACTCTATTACAGCAATTTTCATTCTTCTCCCCTGATAATTAGCATTTTTAGTAGCTGTGTAGCACTGGGCGTGAAGAGGAGGACACGTGACTCAGGTGACAAATGTGTGTTTCTTTTAAAGTCCCATTTTCCACATTTGCTATTTTTAATTTGTAGATCATGCAGTGTATGAACACCTCTACTTTTGCTACTTATGTTTTTTATTTATTTTCAGGAAAATTCAACCCCAGCATTAATAGAAAGGGCAAAAACCTTACATTCCTGATATACCATCTACTCTTTCTTTGCCACTGATTTGGAGAAGGCATGAATTATTTCAGTAGTTTTGATGTCTGTTAATTACTGAACTAGATATTCCACACTAAATTTTCTATGGTAAGATGCAATTAATTCTTCACATTCTGTGAACATTTTAGGCATCTGACATCTGGTGCTTTTATTCTATCCATGTCTTCATCAAACCCCAAAGCTTCATGGAATATTTGAAAAAATCTGCAGAAGATACTCAAAAAACTGCTATCAAAAAGAGATACATAAAGTAATGATTTAGTTGAATTGTTATGCCTTCGCCTGGAAACACTAATTATTTTATTATATTTCAGAAACCATTCACAATTCCACTCAAAAATAATCCCCAATATATTGATGACTGGAGATTTATTTATAATCCAAGTTGGATACATTGTGTGACTTTGGTCCTCGAGTAGTGCCAGGATTGCATGTGAAGGTAATGTTTTCAGTTGGATGTCAGTGACAAGATGTTACTATTTCTGATCTTGTTTATTAAGACTCTCTTGCTCTATTTCAGAATTAATGTGATTAATGTGACTCATCAGGCCCTCCGGCCCTGTTCTGGTTTAGACACAATGTAGACAGAAAAGCCTCAATACCAGGCTAAATGCATCCCCATGCTACTGCTTAGCAAGTACCAAATTTCATTATCCAATCAGGAGAAACAAAATGCAGATCCAAACACATATAAATTACTAGCAATATTTTAATTGAACTCAAAAAGTATTTAGAATCTTGTCTGCTAGCCTTTTCACTAGTAATGTAGCAAAATTCCCACAAATTGAGAAAAAATTATTCATTTCAAATTCTTATCTATGATGTCTCTGAATGTTTTGCCATCAAAAGTATAAACACTGGCAAATAAGGAACTTAACTGTGAGTCAAAAAATGAAATGATATTAAAAAACTGTCTTCTAATTGAAAATGTCATTATAGTTCAAAGTTTTCACAAAACAAAATCCAGTAATAACAATTTAAAAAATCTTCACACACACGTTCTCTGGTTTTCTGAGTCAGTAATTAGAGCCACAGGAGGTTATATGATGCTTCCACAATCATTCAAGCTAGGGCAAGTCTAATACAGCATTTCTTTGATTTTTTAAAAAAAGACAAAAATAGGGGTAAAGGATTTAGCTCATGGTGTAGCACTTGCTAAGCAAGTATGAGGCCCTGGGTTCAGTCCTCAGCACCAAAAAAAAATTTTTTTTAAAGGGCTCAAAGCAAAAATAATTTTAACAAAACATAATTCTTTAATTTATAACGTTGAATACGATTTTCCATTTCCACAAAGTATACCTTAAAACCTCCCAAGGTTACATAAGAAAGGAAATTTCGCATTAATTTTTCCATTCCAGAAACTGGAGGTCCCTATGGGCTTGTGGACCTGGGTACAGCACGTGGACTGGAGAGGTGAGCTAGTGATGCCCCGTGTGGCTGTTAATGATCTGTGGCCCTCAGAAGCATTCTCTTTCATCTCAGTAAAGTTACATGATAAATGTTTTCTTCATTAAGAGATTGACACATCCACTCTTAATTTATCTTTCAATTTATATTTTGTTTGTTTTTATTTCTATTAGTCCTCGTTTGCAGTACATAATGATCGCATTCCCCGTAGGGAATTGGCACACGTACAGAACACACCTTAATAATTCTTCTTCATCTTGCCTTTCCTCCTGTCCCCTTCCTTCCCCTCCCTCCATGTCTCGATCCCCTTCCCCTATGAGAAAGCGCTGTCTCTCTACTTCCTAGTATCTATCTTTTATTTTGCTCTTTATGTATATTTTGTGTTTCTCTTGTAAGAGAAACCATGTGAGATTTTAAAGTCTTCTTTAAAAACCTTATTGAAGACATGTCCACACTAACAGTCTTATTTTAAACTATGGTTTTTAAAAGACTGAATTATTTAAGTTTTCCAGTGACTTTATTAAATTCAACAGCAGCTCTGACATTGACATTTGAATAATACATGTGCTTTTTGTCTTTAATAAATGTATTTTTCATTTTTAAAGAATATATTTCCTTACCTACATGTGGCTATGAAAATCTATCAAATCGGGTGGGTATCTTTTTATTTTTCTAACTTTTTAAAAAGATGCTCCTATTATCTAGGTTGGTTTTATTTGCAAATTGCATGAGAGCAGAACGTAAGAAATATCTTGGCATCACAGTTCTCATAGCTTGTACATATATGTAATAATGAAAATAGGCATATAATTAAATTGTCAGTTAAAGCTGTTTCTGTTTCCTTCTGGTTAAACTTGTACATCTCCTTTTTATTAATTTATTACATGTGAAAATCAGTCCATCCAGGGCTTCTGGCACAGAACACCAACAAGTGCAACTTTAAAAACAAACTCCTAAATCAGAACATTATATGCGGGTACTGAGCCATGGTCAGAATGACAGCATTGTACAATCAATAATAAGAATTCTTCCAGAGTCTCCTGTGCCTAAGTGTCACCTCTTTATTTACCTTGGGATATAAAAGTGTTGTGCTTTCTTTTCATCAGAAGCAACAAATTAACAAAAAAATAATTAGATGTTATCATTTTGAGCGCAACAGTACCAATACTTTGGAGAACTGACAGTATATTCTACAGATACATTTTCCACAAACTATGAAAAAAGAGAAACCACATTACAAAATGTATTATAAAAATAAATTACGTATTATGTGCCCGTGGACCTCAAAGCCTTACAAAACGAGGAGGTCTTTCTCTTGCCACAAAGATTCAGTCGCCCATATTTTCATGTTATTAGCAAGGCTATTTTCAGCTTTTACATCATATCCTCAAAAAAAAAAAAAAAACCAGAAGTAGTGAAATATCTCCAGTCATAATCAGTAGCATGGAGGATCTCAGTGATGGTGGAGGGCTGCAGACATACTATCCACTCAGCAGGGAGTCACAGGAAGTCACGCACCCAGTGTGTACTGGGTTTACCAGCTCATCTGGAGTTCATTCGCAACTGGTGAATGATGACACTTTCTAAAACGAGAGGAAAGACAGCATTTTCAGTTAACCTGCAACTCAACCAGTAGCTTATGTGAGGATCTGCCCCACATCACTTCACCAAAAGACTGTTAAATGACAAAACAAACAAAAACAAGTATGTGAGACCAATACTATCTCTGTAATACCCTGTTAGCTGGGGGTGACTTCTGTGTATAGGCATATATACCTTCACTTTAAAGTTCTTGAAGGCCTTTGGAAACCATGTCTGATATTCTAACAATACTAGGTCAATATTACCTAAATAAAGAACTGAACACAAAGATAGTAATTACAATACAGAATCCTCATAATTGAAAAATAGACTAAAATGGTACCTCACTTCATGAACTCAATTCTCTCCATGATTCTGGTCACGAACCAAACTGAACAAGAACCAAATCTGATTTCCCCATAAGGTCAACATTGAGCCTAACCATTGAATTGGATTCAGTTCTCGTCCAACTCAGTTTGGAACAAAATTGTGGAAAGAATCAAGTTACTAAAGTAAGGTACCACTTATTTCCTATAACTATATTTTCCTGGACAAACTCTTTCTGTTCTGAAAAATAGTCACACCACTCTAATTTCTTTTTTTATGTATATGGACTGAAGTTTTAACAAGGAGATGCTTATTCTCTGTTCCTAAGAAGTCAGTAGACACAAATGACTTACTTTTGCCTTCAACTGCTTCTTTTTACTTAACAATATATGCTTTTTTTTTTTTAGTTTTTTTTTTGAGACAGGGTCTCACTATATAGTCCAAGCTGATCTTATACTCACTATGCAGCCTAGGCTGGCCTCGAACTCACAGCAATCCTCCTGCCTCAGCCTTCCAAGTGCTGGGTTTATAGGCATATGCTACTACCTCTGGCTCTAAGTTCATTCTTACCAGTAAAAAATAGATTGTGATGATAACTCAGATAGGCCAGCTACATTATAGATACTTAATTTTTATTTTATTGGTTTTCCTCTATATTAATTTTTATGTAGACATAGATCTGTATCATTGTTACTTTTTCACTCAGTCATTTGAGAGCCTGGCATTGAGATGATACACTGTGCTAGAACTGGAACACCAGTGAGGAAAATGAGACTGAGTTCTACCACCACTGAAATGACACAAATTGGAGGGAAGAAAATAACCCTCAGATGATTTCTCCACCAGAAAGCAGTGTCAGCTCCCTGTCAGCATATGGCCATGTTGTGAATGCAGACATGTATGTCAGGCTTTATCAATAGCATGGAGAAATTTCCACCTATTATCTTCACTTTAATTTCAGTCACCTCCTATTTAAATGTGATGTTTACTTCCATAATTAATATCAAAGTAAACATTAATTTAATCATAGCACCACAGGCCTTTAGGTTCATGCTAATTCTGCAGGGTAGATGACCTTCTGTTAAAAAATGTTTTCTCAATTTGGTTGCACTAGCTTTACCTCACAAAGGCCACTAGGTAGTGATGTTTCCATTTTTTTCCTCAGCCCTTCGGCTTGAAGTTGAGACAAAAAAGCAAAGTGGAATATGCAAATGTCTTACTTTTCCTAAGAATATTTGGCTATGAGAGCTTTATGAAGCTTTTAAGATACATATACAATTTTTCACTGTAGTAGGAACTTAAAAATTATCTAATTTTTTATATTAAAAAGTTACCCTAGCTTCAACTACTTTAAATACTTAAAAATATCAAAATCTTTGGTCAAAAGAAAAAATTAAATTAAATTAAAAGCACCCAATATTATGTATTTAAAAGTCAGAGTCTAAGATTAAAATGTTATTTCCTACTAAATATCTCTTTAAAAACTTTCTGTAGTAGACTTAACAAAATGCCAAATGAAACCACCTAGGTCTCAAATTCCCTTAATATAATTAAATAGGCTTCCATGTTTCCCTAAAGACAGCCTAGGAAACAAATTAAGAGAGGAATCCGTAATTGTCCTGATTGTAGATATAATTCATAATGCTTGTGCATTTGTCTTCTTTAAACAAAATAAGGGTACTAGAAATCATCTCTAATGCCCCTTGCAGGGTTAACATTTTTCTATCATTACAGTATCTTCCTTCTTCTTGAGTACATGAGCCTCCTAATTTCTAGTCACCTTCTTTTAGTCTTAGCATTTTGAAATCACCATAACAACAGCTATTGAACATCTGTATTTGATGAAAATATATGCAGTGAAGGGCTCATACACAGAAGAAAAACTGTTTATTTCACCATTACATTTCAATATTTTTAAATTATCAAGCCAGTAATCCACATGTATGGACATATAGAGCTAGACATCTCAGAAATAGGTAATAATGCCAAATAACAGTGCATAAATTCCATTTTAATAATAAAATATAGTATTTAATATTCCTGTACATAAATATTATTTAAAAGAATACAATTAAGTCCAAATTATTTTGATTTATATACATTGAAATATATTTCTAGAAAGAGTGAGACAAAATCTATATAATAGTTTTATTAATTGAAATGTATAAAACATCTGTTAACTGGGTAGTTACTTATTATCTGCTTTTCCCAAAGCTCAGCTGAACTTACTCAGATAAGAATCACTTAGTTAATGCACAAAGTTGAGAAATAAATGTTTCACACCACTGAATTTTGAAGTAACTTGTTACACAGATAAACTTTCTGATACATATATAAAAGTCACAGTTGCCAAGAAATAAAATAAATAAATGCTTTGGAGATTACTGCCATTATATTCTTGTAAAAAAGACAGGAAGGGCAGAATTTCCAAGTCTCTCTCTCTTATAATTTAGTACAAGGAAAGTACATTTTGCACATTTTATTGAAGTTACAAACTCAGCAAATTGTATTCCTTTGCTGAATCTGTCTTCATCTCACCCCAGAACAAGACCCCAGGGCAAGTCATTTGGGCCTCTATGGTGAGCTCAGTACAATCAAATATGATCTGGTAATGACTCTCGTCTTTTTCTAGATACATTTTTCTCATATTAGTAATTTGTAGGGCATTTACTAGGCAGACTGAGACCAAGGGTCACAGTTAATTACCAGCTTTATCGGCAACCTCTTAAAAGAAGCACTTAAATTTGGAGTCCGTTGATACATTTTTAAATATAATTTCCTTTTTTAAAAAATCAGAACAAAGCATCTCTAACTCCTAATCAGCATACATGTATGAGTGAGATTGAATTTTTACATGCTTTTGACATTAACAATTACCAAAATGCATTTACAGGCATTGTCTTGTACTGTATGTAGATCTCCCAAGTTCACATTGCTGCTTTTTCCTTAAGAAACTTCAGGTAACATGTTAAATATACTATTCACTATTATGACATTACTGTGAAATTATGTAGTTTATTAGGTTCTCTTTTTTATTATATTAGCTATGAGATAAGTTCCATGCAGACAGAGTTGAACATATTATTGATTCCCAGTTGCACTTAATTCCTGACCTTGCTAACCACTCATCCTCTGAGGGTGGGAACTCAAAACTGCTGGCCAGCCAGATGACTGGAGTTCCCAAGCTGTGTACATGAGACAGGGTTTGAGGAGAAACTTGGGAAGGATGTCTCTTGAGTGCTAGAGTGGGTGAGGCAACCTCACAACAAACTGGAATTCTGTTTCTTCCCAGGAGAGCTCCTCTGCTACGGAGTGGGAAAGGTGGACTACCTGGAAAGCCAATACTTCCCTCTCAAGCATCACATATGTTTTTACTATGCCAAACTCTGAGCAAGGCAATGCTTGAGCTTGAATTTTAAAGGTCTTCTAGGTAATTAGACCACATCACTTTAATAATTAGACTCTGAGCCTGCACATCAAAGAGAAAAAACTGTACAGAAGCTCAACTTATTTGCACTAGCAGAGGATGGCCTCTTCATCCACAAGAAAATGAACGTCAATTAACAGAAACATTTCCCCTTGGATGCTGTATCCATTTGACTGGGTATAGTTTGCTTCCTGTGTTCCATGGTTTCCTATCTCCTGGGGATGCTGGAGCATCTTAGGGATGTACTGTTCTTCCAAACCTCAGCTTTGAACTTGCTGCCCTTAGGGCAATTTGCCCCCATGCACACCTAGCCTACCTTCCATATACCATTTAGAAGCAAGATGATCACCACAGTGCTTACTTTAAATTTCTCATTTTCATTTACTGCTCCAGGATGCAGTCTTGTTATTATCACATCCAGAAATTAATCAGAGTTCTGATAAAACATCTGTTTTAAATAGGAAGTTCAATAAACTTCCTCTGTTGACTTGGATTTGTATTCCTTCTTTTGGATTCAGCTCAGCTAATTAAAAGTACTTCCGATAATCAGTTTTGTCATTTGCTCCGGAAAACTTTTGAACCAGATGATATAAACACACTTGGGGTTTCTCAACCACCAAATTGCCTATTTGCTTCCTCCCAAACATTTTCCCCTCCTTCATCAAGCCAGAGCATCATTACCTCCCCAAACTGCAGGATTTACCAATAATTATAGTTATGACTAATGAATTCTTTTTTAGGCAAGCTAATCATAATCTCCAGTATAGAATGCTGTTTTTCAGATATAAGCAAATGCAGAGGGATTATCTCATATATAACATCAACCACTGAAAAAACTAAATGGTATAAAAATATTTAAGCCAAGGATAATCAAGTTCTACTCTTTGGACACAGATGCTAAATGTTTTAAATCTATCTTTAAATTTTGAACTGATTTTTGATCCTGACTTAATCAGTAAGATGCCTAAATATCGCTAAGCCTCAGGATTTTTCTTGTTTTTTTTTTATTTTGGGGGAAGGGTTTTTTGTTGTTTTTATTCTTTAATAATAGAGATAATTATTCTCTTGATCTGTAAGACCTGGCTCAGCTCCATCGAGCTCTGTAATTTGGCAATTCTGTTCTTCAAATACACAAAGTATTAGCACAAGTAAGAGTAAATGTACTTTTACCATATAAGCAGTGGCTCATTAGGAAAATTAAGCATTAGGAAAAGTATTGTGGTAGGGTCTTGTAAACTGCTTTCAAAC